TAGTCTCATTCTAACCTTGCAGCCAGCCTTTAAGGGACGGATCATCATATTCATTTATACATGAGGAAATGGAGGGTCAGAAACCTGGAAGGTAAGAGGGCTGGGGTTGAAACCTAGCACTCCAACGCACTGCTGTCATACTTGGCTAGGAGTAAGGGCAAGGGTTTGTTTTTTTGTTTTTGTTTTTTTCTTTAAGCCAAGCAAGGAAATATCATTGTAAAAGCCACGCATTAAATGAGAAGCTTAACAAAATCTTCCATCAGTCCTGTACCTCTCTGCCTCCCACCCTTTCTCTCCTTCCCATCACAGGCACGCTTTCTTTGAAATCCTTCCCTCACTTCCTCACCTCACAAACATTACTCAATCCTCTGTCAATAGGCCTCTGCTTTTGCCCTACGCCACCCCCCACCCCGACACATACACACAGACACACACACACACAGACACACACACACACAATACCACACGTGCAGCCCTGGCAAAGATGAACAGTGACCTCATTATTAACTGAATCCTATCCAATGGCAATTTGCTGTCCTGTATCACTTGATTTCCCTGCAGGATAAAATGAGTCTTAGCTTCTCATTTCTTAAACTCTCTTCTCGGTTCACATGACATTACTCTCTTCTAATAATTGCCCAACTCTGGCCACTCCTTTGGGCACTTCCCCTTCCCTAAGATTGCTCCTTAAAAGCATCTACATCAGCCCTGTCCCAATCTCGCTCTACTGGATAGGTTCATCCTGGGCAATCTCATTCCATTCCCATAGCTTTTTCTGTAACTGATCCTCTGTTGACCTTAAATGTGTATCAGCAGCCAGAAGTACTTCTCTGGGCTCCAGCCCTGTACCTTCAATTACCTAGTAGACATCACATGAATAATATACATGAGCATCCTGAAATCAACAAATCGAAAACTGAACTCCACTGATCCCTTTATGTGATCCTCCTCTCATTTTGCCCTAACATCCCAAATACCTGGGAGGCCAACACCCCCTTCTCTCTTTTCAGCAACATCAGCAGCCCCTAATTCATCAACATACCTCAAATTTGTCATCTCTCTCCATCACTCAATATCATCATCCTCCTCAGACTACCGCAGCTTCTTTGGCCACACTCAGCATTTGCACATGCTCCTTTCCCATCGGACCTTCAGCAAACCTGCCACAATACCAGTATCACCGCAGCCACAGAACCTCCCTGATTCCCACTTCCCCTCATCAGGGTACACCTCTCTATTTCCATAGTATCCCAAACCTCTCATTTGTACTTAGTGGTCTCTTTACTTCTAGATCCTCAACTAGACGCTCAACTCCTTAAGGGCAGACGCATATGTACTTTGCGTTTCACTACCTCCTATAACAGAAGACAGGCAATGTGCTGTTATGTACCTTGTTATGTACCTCTCCTGGTCTTGAAAACCCATCTATTGTGCTGTTGAGTTGCTAGCCTATTTGTATTCCTTTTCCTTTCTGTGCACTCTTTTGCCCTTTTTAACTTCACTGAGATATAATTTATATACCATAACTTTTATCCATTTTGAACATACAATTCAATAATTTTTAAGAAAAAATTTATAGTTTTGCAACCACCACCACAATCCAGTTTTCATCACCCACCAATAAGACCCATCATATCCTCACACTTAATCTCAACTCCCACCCTCAGAGCTCAGGCAAACCCTACCTAATCTTTCCACCTCTATAGAGTTGCCTTCTCTGAACATTTCATCTAAATGTTACATAGTCTTTCATATCTGGCTTCTTTCCCCTGCAAAATGTTTGAGATTTGTCCATATTATAGCTGCATTTCATTCCTTTTTATTACAAAGTAGTATTACACTGTATGACTATACCACATTGTTTATCTATTCATCGATTGATATTTAGGTTGATTCAACTTTTAGCTCTTATGAATAATGCCACTAAAATATTTGCATACAAGTCTTTGCATGGGCATATGTTTTCATTTCTCTTAGGTAGATACGTGTGAGTGGATACCAGACTGTTTTCAAAGTGGCCATATCAGTTTAAATTCCCACCACCAATGTATAATAGTTTCTGTTTTTCCACAACCTTAGCAACACTTGATATTCTCTTTTCCCTTTACAGCCATTCTGGTAGGTAGGAAATAGCATCCCATTGTGGGTTTTTAAATACCCCTAATGACTAATGATGCTGAACACCTTTTCATGTGCTCTTGGTGAAATGTCTATACAAATCTTTAGATCATTTATTTTCTAATTGGGTTGTTTTCTTATTAGGAAGTTGTAAAAGTTCTTTGCTTATTCTGAATACAAATCCTTTATCAGAAAGGTGATATTTAAATCTTTTTCCCAAGTCTCTTTTCTGGGTCCTCCTTAACAGCGGTCTCTCTTGCTGCTGCTTGTGGCTCACCCACTTCTAGACACTGCTCCTCTTCCAGTGGGGGTAAGCCATCCTGGAATTCTTGTTATTGAGTAAGGTATAATACGTGAAGCCAAGAGGAAGAAAACCAAGGTAACTTGGGAAGAGAGAAATGTAAAAATCAAGATGTGCTTGTCAGGCAAACTTCAGGAAATGTTCCCGTAAGAAGCTCGATTCAAGAAAAAAAAAAGGTTTACTGAATCCAAGGATCATTATTATGAAGATTAGAAAACGAACTGCTTCAATCATTCTTCCTGGTAAACTTTAATAAGTAAAAACAAAGTAGAGTTTCACCTCCTTGCCTTACTCTAAAAATCCTTCAACACTGGCACCCAAAAAGGAAAGACTCTTTAAGAGCCCTAATCATTGTCTATGCTCTATTAACCAAAAAAATACTTTTTAGCACGGGATAAGTACTACACACTATAGTGATTCGACATAAGGCATGGATACAGTACCTAAATTCTCAAAGAGAGGATTTAGGCAGGGAAAGGAATCTTTACTAAAAATTTTCAAGCCATTTTTATCCATCTACTACCAAATCTAGCATCTAAACATCATGTGATACTAGGGAACAGAAAAGAAGGGCAAAGTAAAAGATAAAGAAACAAGTGCCTCTCCATTTGCTGCCAAATTCTTCAATATACTTCTGCCTGCAAAGTGCTCTTTCCCTGTTGACTCAGCCAATGTAACTGCTTACACCAGCCAGAAATCTGCATTGTACTTGAAGGAGATGAGGTTACTTGGGGTCTCTCTGCAGCTGTACAGTTTATGAGCAACATCAGTAAAGAGACATTAGAGTCTCACATGGTTTCGTAAGCAATAGTGTGACTTCCCCTATAGCAAACCATTCATTCCATAAAACCATTTGACTTTAGCAGCACACTTGCCAAAACAGTTCTCAAGATTTCTTCTTTTATCAACACCTCAGAGAAGCCAGAAAACACAGAATAGACAGGGTTGCTTGAAGGAGAAGTGGGGGAAATGTTTTACAGCATTCAATGATACATGCACATATGATCTCAGTTAATCTTTATAAAAATGTGTGGAATCTGAAGCTTGGAAAGGTTCAGGAATTTAGCCAAAATCACACGCCCATCACTCAAACCCAATTAAATTACTCATTCCTAATCACACTTTGAGATTGGATGGAATGCAGTTTTCACAGAGAAATACAGGGACTTACAAGACAAACATTCAAATGATATTAAATTCTTAAGGGAAATCTATGCTTGAGGAAAACATAGAAGCTGGCTCACATAAATTAGAGTCCTAACAGTGATCTTCTAGGTTCTTAGGGCAATTCCAGAAAGGTCAGGTGACTTGAGAGAGGTCACACAGCTGGTTAGTGTAAACCCAGAACTAGAACCCCAGAGATAATTACTTTTTTTAAAGATTTTATTTGTCAGAGAGAGAGAGACAGAGACAGAGAGAGTACAAGCAGGGGGAACAGAGAGAGAGGGAGAAGCAGGCTCCCTGCTGACCAAGGTGCTGGACGCAGAACTCGATCCCAGGACCCTGAGATCATGACCTGAGCCAAAGGCAGACGCTTAACCGACTGAGCCACCCAGGCGTCCCGAACCCCAGAGATTTTAAGAATAGGATACTAAAAGGATGTGAGCTTATAAAACATGCTTACATATATCAGTGCTAGATTTTTTTTAAAAGGCATTTTTTTAACAATTTCCAATTGCACATAAGTCCCATCACAGATGCATTTATTATATGCTCAGGTTAAAGGGGGGGGAAGGAATTCAGTAGAACCAGGGATGGGAAAATATAAGCTACCACGTCCTGAGTGCATTCCTAGACCTAGGTTCTGATAACTGTCTTTTGGACTATTTCACATAATCCTTATTACAATCTTGTAAGATGATTATTATGATTGTCATTTCAGAGATGAGGACACTGAATCACAGAGACATTAATAACTTTCCCATGGCCATACACAGGCATTCAGATAGACAGCATACACAGAAATGGCCCTTTCTCCATGGCAGGCTGAAAGAGGACACAAAAGTATGCAACTCTTCCTGTGGCACATCTGTTTGTATCCAAAGAGTATGCCTTTTCTGAACTGTGAAAGCATATACGTATATTTTTAAAGAAAAGATTGGGGCACCTGGGTGGCTCGGTCGGTTGAGCGTCTGACTTGATTTCAAATCAGGTCATGATCAAGCCTCACGTCAGGCTCAGTGGGGAGTCTGCATGAGATTCTATCTCTTCCCCTCCCTCCACCCCTCTCCCTGCCCACACTCTCTACCTAAAATAAATAAAGGGAGGGAGGGAGGGAAGGGAGGGAAGGAAGGAAGGGAGAGAGAGAGAGAGAGAGAGAGAGAGAGAGAAAGAAAGAAAGAAAGAGAGAGAGAGAGAGAGAGAAAAGAAAGAAAGAAAAGAAAAGAAAAGAAAAGAAAAGAAAAAGAAAAGAAAGATCAAATTACTGTTTACATATTCCTTCCTAATTCCCACCCCCCCCCCCCGCTTTTTTTTTGGCCCAGGACTCAAGCCAGGAATAACCTATGCCGAACCCTCCCCTCAGTCATCCCCGAGTATTTCCTGACACGTATTTTTGCTCACAGTCCATCACAACTAAAGAATGGGGCTCAACCTGACACTTGCAAAATTACCAGGTAAGCCATAGGAAAAAATGCACAGAAAAATCTTCCTTGATCAATAACTGTTATTTATACCTTATGACAACTTGGGGATTTTATCAGCTACTTAACCAATTAACATAATAAATCAGCATTTAGCCTGGCCTTTTGTTAAATATAAAACAGCAAACAGGTAGATCAGCATCACTGAGAGAAATTTAACTTGCTATTGCTTAATTCCAAGCTTTGTTTCATCTACAGACCATCTCAAAAGGAACAGGAAAGATTAAATTGACATTTGTGGAAGACTTTTATACCCAAACTAAAATACCTATTACTTTCCAGGGGTAATAGTGTAAAAACTAAGGTTCACTGAGGTTTCTCAGGAAGCCAAAGGCCACATCTTCCTCCTCTCCTGGTAACTATTTCAACAATGACCACGCAAATGTAGCTGTGCCATGGCAGTGACACCCTGTAATCTGCATGACCTGTGTGTTTCATTCCTGCCAGGCAGGCAGAGCAATGACATATTGTTGATACTTCCACATTTTGTGCCAAAGAGGGACACGCCCCAGTGAGCAATAATGCAGCTGCACCAAAAGCAAAAGGACCAAGATGCTTCACCACTCTATCATTTGTAACGTGGCTGCAATTGAGACAAATTGTAATTAATGACTTAAGTTACAGAGTGAACATCTACAAAAGTACTAGAGACTGTCCTGGAAATAATGTTTGCAGAGAATTTACCTCTTGGGAGATCTAGCAAAATGGCTACTGTTTATTTCCTTTTACAAGGTTACGAAGCGACTAAACCAGCACGGTCCAATAGGACCTTCTGCAATGACACCAATGCCCTTTATCTGCCCTGCCCAGTACAGCAGTCATATGTGGTTAATGCTATGTATGAACACAAACCCCATGCATTTCTCCAACACATCAGCACAGCAGTCCATCCCACACCCTCAACACCCGTAGTACAATACCTCTCTCACACACAGGCTGGTACCAAATGTTAATTTACTATAGAACTAGAGTTCTTAGGTCATCGCCTTTGTTGATCTAATTTAAAAGGAGTTGGTGGAGGAAGAGCAGGAGAGAAATCTTCACCCTCAATTATCACTCTGTATCAAGCTCTGAGCTAAATAATTCAGGTAATAATGTCCTAGTAAACAAGGAGTGTGTGAGAAAATAGCCTTTACACTGTAAAAACACCTTCTAATTTTTCTTAATTGAATCACCAAGCTACCTGTCATTAAAAGCCTTCCCTAACTTTGCCAAGTTGTTTGTTTTTTTTTTTTTAATTGACAGTGAAGAACAACATGATAAAACAGCCTGGGTGAAGAGAGCCGCATACGTTTAAGGGTCATTGTTCCTGAGCAGGAATACTGGCCACAGAAATGCTTCTGAGCACACCCACTAGCTTTGGAAAAAAATTGGGGCAATGACACAGGAGAGAATAATAGAAGAATATAACATAGACTTGATTCTTTAAAAAATCAATTAGAGAAAATTCTCTATATGAAGTTTGGAGCCTTCCAGAGCAACTTACAGATGGTTCTTCCTGCTTACAAAGAACTTTTTCCCTCTCTTCTACCATATTATTTCATAAAATAACCCATAACAAGTTTAACCACTAATTTGCTTAAGCTGCATTATAAATGTGGAATTTGTGAATGAAGAAATAACCAAGCCCAGGCTTATCATACTAAATTAAAAAGTCCTGTATTCCAAAATGTTAATCCTATACATAAACTAAGGAAGCAAATACTATGAGGTGACATAATCAACAAGCTGAACACCAGATTCACAAAACCACAGTAACCACTGTGGAATAAGGCCACTCATGCTTGATACTTGCCATTTATGAGACAGAGTATTCGTGAAGTATAATTTTTGACATTCTGATTTAAGACTCCATCTATAATAATCATAATTGATCAGTAAATCATCATTTAATAAGAGTGCTTCTTCATACAATTCAAACTTTAAAATATAATGACACACTGAGCAGACACACAATCCTTAACCAACCCTGGGAAGTATGGGTCTTTCCATTCCACAGTGGATATGCACAGTAGATCCAGTGAGGCAACACTAGGGTTGAAATACTCCATGGCGAGTTTGCGAACCATTCTATTTCTATTTATAATGGTTTTGAAAACCATTCGTAATTGTTGTAAAGCACAGCCATCGTATCAGGATATGATGTGGCTGCCCCTTTTCAGTCTGTGTCCCTTGGCTGGACCACTTATCCTGATTAAAACTTACTTGTCCTCTCTCCATTTCCCACAGGGTTCTATTCTGGGTTAGATGAAAGTGTCTGCTAATAGTTTAATTGAAGAAATTAATTTAAGTACTTTCTTAACCCAGGTAAAACTGCACATCTTAGAAAGCTTCTAATAACATAGAGGCTGATGGGGATCTTGTGGGGCAGAAGCAGCCAATTTTCCAACACTTCATTAAGTTAAAATAGGCTTAAATGATACTGTTCAAGACAATATTGGAAACTGGCAAGGATAATATAGACGGCAGCTGAATCAGGCATTTAAAACTTACAAAGCTTAATAATACTATGGGTCTCATCCTAACAGGCTAGTCCAGGTATAAATTACTAGCCTGTGTAAGATATTTCAGCCAGGAAAACCAGTTTTTAAAAAACACTTGTAGCAGGGAATAAAAGGGAAAGAATTAGAAAGAGTACAAGGTTACTCGGGAAGAGCCTACACTTAAATTTTAGGCAGCAATTTAAGAACCTGTTTTTGGATTATAATCATCAAAGTATCTTCCCTGTTTCATTTCTTCAAAGAAGGCAACCAAAATATATAATACAGTGCCTGTTATATAGGGAAATGAGGGCAAAATTAATATTGTTACCTCTAAAACAGTATTGTTACAAAACGTAACTGTCATTATAGTAAACATGATTAATTAGTGAGAAGTAAAAATTCAGTAATGACCTTCTTTCTAAACTTCTATCCCAAAAAGTTCATTTGAAAATAGTGTTAGTCCAGGTTTAAAAGAAAAAAAAAAAAAGGCAGGTGACAAAATATAACTGGATGGCCAAGAGATTTATTATTGGGGGATAGGCTTGCAAGGGATTGCAGACTGAAATGCAAGTCCTACCCCTATGCAAGAGAGGGGAGCAAGGAGGTTGAGTAGGAAGGTTCACACTACAGCACAGCATGAAGGAAGTTTTCACCAGACTGACAAGTCTTCCGGCCAAAGTCCTTTGTCAGAGGAAACTCTTCTGTACCTGGAAAAGTCTTGTCTTAGTATCCTTCCTGTGCTCAGTTACTGACTTGGAGCAGCCGGTGGGAAGCGTCCATCAGCAAGAGAATGGTGGTGGACTCAGCCCTAAGCTACAGCTATCCGTCGATCTCACTCCCCTCAGTAGGAGATGCGCAAGACCCATTCGCATGGTTGCCACATAAACACAAAATTCCAAAAAAAAAAAAAAAAAAAGAAAGTAAAAGGTTTAAAATTTTATCTAAGTGCAATAGGTATAAATAATGTAGCCTTGTAAATAAAAATAGGCATCAACCTAGAACTATATTAGACAAGTCATCCTCCATTATAATAAACTTATCTATTAACAACTACCTATTCTTATTTCTATTCCTAACAATGGTCCCTAAAGGCTCTTACATTTTGCCGTGGGCAAAAACCTCAAAATCACCCAGGAGTTTTACTCTTTCTCAATTACTGATGATTAAACAGCTTAAAACTGAGAGAGATTTTAAAAAGATATTTCAGAGAGTGTGCCAAAGACAACCCTAGCCAGTGCTAGCCCTTTTATTTTCATTATAGGAAAATCCAATTCTCTGCCCCCAGATTTTACTGTTTCTATTTGTAATGATATCAAACACTAAATTAAAAATCAGGGTAATTGTCATTGGTATATTAATCTTCATTTTCAAAAGACTGGCATAAAGAACCAGAAATACCACATTTTACACTCAAGGTACCTCGGTGTGTATCTGTCTGGGGGAAGGGGATGAGATGAGGACTTGGGAGAGAGGCCACCAATACTTTGGCCACTCAAAACATTAAAAATGCACTACAGTAACTATCTAAATTGCTAAGACATTTTTTAATTTGCCCAAAACAGCAGTCGCCTATTAAGGGAGACTAGCAGTCTGTGCGGCACACATGTGAAGCTCTGACATGATGTCTCCCCACTTCTCCTACAGATAATGAGCTGCCCAGCCAAGGGAGTCACGCTCCAAGTAACTGGAGCTATGGACCCGGGAAGAACACAACTGTTAACAACGAATTTGACACTATCGTCTTGCCTGTGCTTTACCTCGTTATATTTGTGGCAAGCATCTTGCTGAATGGTCTAGCCGTGTGGATCTTCTTCCACATTAGGAATAAAACCAGCTTCATATTTTATCTCAAAAACATAGTGGTTGCTGACCTCATAATGACGCTAACATTTCCATTTCGAATAGTGCATGATGCAGGATTTGGACCCTGGTACTTCAAGTTTATCCTCTGCAGATACACTTCAGTTTTATTTTATGCAAACATGTATACTTCCATCATATTTCTTGGACTCATAAGCATCGATCGCTATCTGAAGGTGGTAAAGCCATTTGGGGACTCTCGCATGTACAGCATAACTTTCACGAAGGTCTTATCTATTTGTGTTTGGGTGATCATGGCTGTTCTGTCCTTGCCAAACATCATTCTAACAAATGGCCAACTAACCAGGGAAAATATTCATGACTGCATGAAACTTAAAAGTCCCTTGGGAGTCAAATGGCACGAAGCCGTCATTTACATCAACAGCTGCTTGTTCGTGGCTGTGCTGGTGATCCTGATTGGATGTTACATAGCCATATCCAGGTACATCCATAAATCCAGCAGGCAATTTATAAGCCAGTCAAGCCGAAAGCGGAAACATAACCAGAGCATACGGGTGGTTGTGGCAGTGTTCTTCACCTGCTTTCTACCCTATCACTTGTGCAGAATTCCTTTCACTTTCAGTCACTTAGACAGACATTTAGATGAATCTGCACACAAAATTCTGTATTACTGCAAAGAAATGACACTTTTCTTATCTGCGTGCAATGTGTGCCTGGATCCAATAATTTACTTTTTCATGTGTAGGTCATTCTCAAGAAGGCTATTCAAGAAATCAAATATCAGAACCAGGAGCGAAAGCATCAGGTCACTGCAAAGTGTCAGAAGATCGGAAGTCCGCATATATTATGATTACACAGATGTGTAGGAGTTAGAGGCCACGAAGCCTCCTAATTTGTTTAAGTCAAAGTGTACAGAATGTAAATAAATGTTTCTTTTGATTATCCTCGCATCAGCCTATCAAAATATGGGTAAAAGAGAACAAAAATGGTATGAAAGTTGGGGATAATTTGGAACTAAGAGAAACAACATGAAGGCATGCCCCAAAAGTGAGGTAAGAGAGAGGTGGAGTGTAGCCGAGTGGCAGGGTCATGACTCGGGTGTCGGGCGCAGACTGCAGAGGCAGAGAACACCAGGGCGACCCCAGCTCACTGCAGCCATCTGCCAGGAAATGCTGCTTTGGAGTCACGTTGGAGAGAAGAGAAAGGAGAGAGAAACTAACCATGTAGCTATAAGGTTTAAGATGTGGGCTCATTTATTTCTGATATAACTGGGTACATATTAATTACTAGGCCTTCTGTCATTCCATCTGTGAATATGTACGACCTTTAACCATCATCCCTTCACTGTATTTACCAACGTCTACACACATTAGAAAAGATTCGTAGTGTGCGGTACGAGGTGGCAGGAAGAAGATTCGACTGTATTTTTTGAGAATGTGTTTCAAAGATTAAATTCAATTAACTGATTTTAAAAACCCAGGCTATTTCAGAGAGGAAAAGTGTGACTATTAGGACAAGTGGATCTTGGATAATACACTATGTTTGCCATTATTATATCGCTATGCTGCTAAATCCTCATGATGCAAGGGTAGAGAAGAGAACATGGAGGCTTAGTTAATAATCAAATATATGTTGCTTGTCAAAAACTCATTTAATAGTCTTTATTTTAGAAAACCTGGGGTGTCTGGGTGGCTCAGTTGATTAAGCTCAGGTCTTGGTCTCAGCATTGTGAGTTCAAGCCCCATGTTGGACTCCACGCTGGGTGTGGAGCCTATTTAAAGAAATTAAAAGGAACAGAAAAACTATTAGCAAAATAGTCTTTCCTTTAAGCTTTATCTACCTTTAATAGTGTTCTCATTAGTTTAAAAATATTACCTTAAGTTGGAAGGATAGAGTGCGAAAGATTAAGTCAAAAAAGCACAAGGGTAATGTTTTAAATCTTAGAAGATTTTCTTCTTCAAGATAAACCCTTGAGCTTTCATTCTTTTCAAATGCATCCGCTGCTTGAGTACTAGGTGCCTGATTTGTTCCTCACACTGTGTTAGGAGCTGGGCAAGCATTAAAGCAGGAGAACCGAAGGCATGTTTGCCAATCGGCCAACAAAAAGAGGATAGCGTGGTTACTAGAGACAAAGCACACACATGCATAACACAGTGCAATACTTTATTAAACTCTTGTAAACTATCTGCATAATTCTAAAAGCTAAACTGAACAGAAATAAGGGCACGAGAATAACGTAGCCCGACAATGACTACCATCATATAGTACATGAACAGAATTTGGGCACTCCTAAATTCCTAGTAGGTGAGTCCGGTTTGGCAGAGGGATTGGTAGCAAAGTGGTTAAAAGAATGATCTGAGGACCTCTACCGAAATTTCCATCTCTCCATTAAGATTCCAATTCCATAAATTCCAGGGGCACTCTAGTACATGAATTAATACACACCTCATTTGGTCACTTGCATTGCCAAACCCCCATTGTGTACCACTATCTAGATTAAGATTAACTATGTTTTAGATGAGCTAATGTGAAAAGGCACTTTGAAAGGTTAATTCCTTCCTCAATTCTCCCCATGATGCCCAAGATGAGTTACAGCTACACTATATAAAAAGAAGAACCAACAGTGTGGCTGGGAAAATATTCTCAGAATAATATGTCTTATCCTCTCCATTCCCTATTTCTCTCTACTATGTCACAGCTCCCAGTCAAAAATCTCAAAATGATACTACCCACTTCACTGTGTAGGTATGTGCTGTTAAATGCATAGTCACCATAGGACCCTCCAATAAACTAAGAACGTAGCATCTTTAATAGCATCAAACGGCTCCACTTAGCACTCCAGAATTAACAAACACTTCTCCGCCTTAGACCTCATTTAATCCTCTAAATTCAGGCCTCAATTCTAAGGGGACTTTAAAATATTTTCAATCCCATTTTAATGTTTCTAAAATTAGACTGATGCATAGTTAGCTAGTGGGCACATTTAATGTGATGGTGGTTTTATTCTCTAAAATGATATTAGTAACTCAATGGAACATCTTAACACACTGGATTAGGGAAATAAACTGGAAGAGAGCATTATCCCAGTTTCTTAAAAAGTCATGTTACCAAAAAAAAAGTCATGTTACAAAAAAAACATCAAAATCATGTTTGTATTTTACACCAATCCCCACATTGTAGTCACAAAAAATACTTCTGCAGGACAACCAAGAATGAATCACCTACATTAGTAAGATAAATATCTATAGGAATAATACTAAATATTGTGCGACTATCAGAAGTTAATACAAAATATGATATTAATATTGAAGAAAAACAAGAATTCTCTTTTGGCTATTTTTAAAAATTAATTGATAATCTGGGGGCACAAAATGGCTCAGTTGGTTGAGTGTCTGAACTCGAGATTTCAGTTCAGGTCATGATCTCATGGGTGGTGAGACTGAGCCCCATGCTGGGCTCCACTCTCAACGGGGAGTCTTCTTGAGATTCTCTCTCTCCCTCTGCCCTTCCCCACAATCGTATGTTCCCTCTCCTCTCTCGCTCTCTCTCTCTTGCTAATAAATTTTTAAAAATTTATTGATAATCTGAAAATAAGTTGAAATCTAAAATTTCTTACATAAGCTTTCTGGATTATATTCAGTATTTCAGGATCCTCTCATACAGCAATAAATAACATAGTTATTCTTCCTTTTATGCAGATAAACATATTCAAAGAATTTTTGAAAAGAAATTTTTCTATTTTTCCTAAAACTTAAATTCAAAGAAACTGATCTTGTAGAAAATCTTCTGGTGTGTGCTTTACTACTCTGTTATATTCATTATACCATTTACACCACTCTATTCTCATTTCCATACAGTATACCAGTATTTTGTTTCTCAATGAAAGCATCAAGGGAATAGTCACTATGAAAATCCATAAATTTATATTAAATAGCTAAGGCAAAATTGTGATTGTGCATGTGCACCCACACATGTGCCAAAAAGAACACAGCCTAAACAGAAAGAAATGTGTGATCATCATGAGGAAATCTGACCTACTAGGAAAAAATAAAAAAATGTGATATATTATGGAAAGAAAATAAGAAAACAAAGACAAAATAAAGTTTGGGGATCACTTAAATTTTATAAGACCTGCTTTTCCCCCAGACTAGACACCATTAATACAACAGCTAAGAAATTAATAAATCCTTATGAGGGACATACCATGTTAAAAAAAAAAATTGTGTGCAACAGGGTATTTAAAATAGTCTTTCAATTGAAAAGGTGCTCAACATCACTCATCATCAGGGAAATGCAAATCAAAACTACAATGAGATCACCTCACACATGTCAGAATGGCAAAAATCAAAAACACAAGAAACACCCAGTGTTGGTGAGGATGTGGAGAAAAAGGAACCCTCTTGCACTGTTGGTGGGAATACAAACTGGTGCAGCCACTGTGAAAAAGAGTACAGAGTTTCCTTAAAAAATTAAAAATAGAACTACCCTATGATCCAGGAATTGTACTACTATTTACCCAAAGAATACAAAAGACTAATTCAAAGGGATACATGCACCCTTATGTTTATTGGCATTGTTTACCATAGCCAAATTATGGGAGCAGCCCAAGTGTCCATCAATAAATGGATAAAGAAGATGTGGTACATATACATGATGAAATATTAATCAGCCATTAAAAAGAATGAAATCTTGCCATTTGAAAAAAGATGGATGGAGCTAGAGTATAATACTAAGAGAAATAAGTCAGAGAAAGACAGATACTATATGATCTCACATACGTGGAATTTAAGAAACAAAACAAATGAGCAAAGAGAAAATAGAGAGAGCTAAACCAAAAAACAGACAACTCTAGAGAACAAACAGAGGGCTACCAGAGGGAAGGGAGGGTGGGGGGCAATTGCGGAGGAAATAAGGAATGGGGATTAAAGAGTACACTTTATCATGATGAAAAGTAAAATAATATTTCAATATCCTGAAGTGAATTCTAAAAGCAAATATTTGTTAGGATCAAACATTTTCAAATTTCAGCATACTACAAGCATCTGGTAGATGCAGAATTATTTAACATACCCCCTAGCCCTCTATCACCATCTAGTGGTAAAGTTCATGAAACAGCTGAAGAAAACCTGTGTCCTATATAGAGCATGTACCTGGCTTAGCCCTTCCCTACAGTCTTCCTTCAGTCATCTTCAGTGCTATGTACACACACACACACACACACACACAGTCCTGGAGCTGCCTAGAAAAATGTACAATGGAAATGTTTGAAAAGAGTAATTAAGACCTTCAAGAAGTTATCTTACAGTTGTAAAAAGGACAAAAGCTAAACAGGCTAGGGGCGCCTGGGTGGCTCAGTCATTAAGCATCTGCCTTCGGCTCAGGTCATGATCCCAGGGTCCTGGGATTGAGCCCCGCGTCCGGCTCCCTGCTCAGCGGGAAGCCTGCTTCTCCCTCTCCCACTCCCCCTGCTTCTCCCTCTCCCACTCCCCCTGTTCCCTCTCTCGCTGTGTCTCTGTCAAATAAATAAATAAAATCTTAAAAAAAAAAAAAAAAAGCTGAACAGGCTAAAATACACAGGATTTCATGGGGAAAACATTACAAATATTGATTATTCTTTCCTAATTGACATGCAGCAAAAAAAATTTTTTTAAAGATTTTATTTATTTATTTGAGAGAGAAAGCACGAGCAGGGGGAGGGGCAGGGGGAGAGGCAGGCTCCCCGCCGAGCAGGGAGCCCAATGCAGAACTCGATCCCAGGACCCTGGGATCATGACCCAAGCTGAAGGCAGATGCTTAATGACTGAGCCACCCAGGCGCCCCTGACATGCAGCAAAATTTTTAATTAAACATAATTTATCTGTAGTTT